TAGATAAGGTCATACAGTAAATAAAGGATAGGATACAAAGGAGAATCAGGTCCCCTTGAATTCTTAATTTCACAACAGGACCAATGACCTGTTCCCAAACTCTCCCAATCCCATGCACCACCGAATCTATTTTTCTGCATTCAAAATCTCACTCAAGCTCTGACATCTCACCCCTCCCCACCTCGTCCTCAGACAATCTCCACCCCCCCCCACCTCCCCGCCCCCCAGGCGCCCACTGCTCCAGGTCCCAGCCTGACTCACTTCCCAGACGCCTCTCTTGCCCCCTCCTGCAGGATGTGTCTGCCAGAACTTTCTTCTTCCCCCAGGGTCACCCCTCCCCCTTTGCCCTTCTCCTCTGCCTCTTCTTCTTCCACCTCACTTTAATAATTTTCCTCTGAGCTGGGCAGTCCCCACTGCCTGGATTCTGACCAGTTCACAGTAGCCACAAACACCTGACTTTGTCATACAGCCCATCCCTCACTCTTCCCCAACGCACATCTCCTCCATGTCCATTCTTCCACCCCTCATACCTCTGTCCTCTAGCTCTCCCTCTCTCTTCCCTCCAGGTCCCTTTTCATCCCTCATTTCTTCATCCTCCCATCCCATCCATCCATCCTGTCTCATCACTTTGTTCTCTAGTACCTCCAACCCCATATGTCCGTCCCTTATCTCGACAACCCTCCATCGCCCCATTTCTCCATCCCTCATCCATTGATCCCCATTCTCTAAGTATAACTGAAGGAGACCTGCACTCAAAACTAGAAGGCTTGATTTTTAGTCTCGCTGGGTGATCTTTGGTAAGAATATTAACTCTGGGACTCAGTTTTACTATCTGCACACTGAGGCAATGGGTTAGATGGTGCCAAAGATCCATTCTAGCTCTGAGAGTCTAGAATTCTAGACCTGCCCTGACCCCTTCTCCTCAGACCTCACTCCCTCTGGTTCCCATGTCTTCTTCCTGTCCTCATGTCCTCTCTCCCCAGGCCTCTCCGAGTCCCCTATTCCCCTGCATTGCCAGGAAGATCCAGCGTCTGACTCCTTGCTAGCCTTGGGATTTCTCATGTTGTTGGGCAGAAAAGACCCCTATTCCCTCTACCCATCTTGTCTCCTGCCAATCCTTTCCTCCCCCAGGAGCTAGGACTGGGAAACCGGGGTTCCTAGGGGAAGGCCCTCACCTGAGTCCCTCTGACCGCTGGTTCCAGCCTCTGTCTGGACGCTGTAAGTGGGCACTGCTGGCTAAGGGGAGTGGAGCCCCACCGGGGTGGGGGGGCGGATCTGGGTCAATTTCCTGTCAGGAAACCCCTCCCTCTCTGGGGCCAGGGGGGCCGGGAAGGACTCATTATCTGTCTGCCCTCCAAGGCTGAGCTGTGATTAGAACCTGGCTCCTCCCTGCCTGAGATGTGGGCTGGAGCTGGCTCAAGCAGATCCCCCCCTTCCCCATCTTGGTGGTGCTCCCCCTCCACAGTCTCTTCCAGTCGTATCCCTTTCCCTCCAGCCCACTGACACTTCCCCCTGTCTCTACTTAGTGAAGAGAACTCTGGCTTGGCATGCAGAGCCCTGATTCCTGGATCTGCCCCTGACTCTCTAAGTGACCTGGGACAAATCCCACACCCTCCTATGAGCCTTGGTTTTCCCTTCTAGTAAAAAGAAAGGCCTAGACTATGCTGGCCTTTTTACTATTGTCTCTAGCTTGGAGGTTATTGGAATCTATGAATCTCTGAGTGCAAAACTGTAAACACCTAAGACGCTAAGAGAGATTTCAAAGGATGGATGATTTTGAGCTGAAAGGGACCTAAGCAATCTAAGAAACAACCCTCTCATTTTACTGATGGGGAAACTGAGGCCTACCCAGGTGAAGTGATTCCCCAACATCGTATGCAGCAGCAGACCCATAATCTGAGCTCAAGGCCTCTAGCTGCAGATTTAGCCTAAAGTGAGAAGCAAATCTCAGTTTCCTTCCTTATGAAATGGATATACTAGTATCTGCAGCTGTGGAAATTCAGTAAAATAATCTCTTTGAAGCATTTTGCAGAATTCAAAAGTGCACAAACTTCATTGCTCAAAATTAAAATTCTAAGTCATTTTAAGTCTATTCTGTGAAATAGAAGTGGAGAATGGAAGCTAGGGGATTGGGATGAGAGATGAGAATGGGGACAGAAATGGGGATAAGGACAGGGACAGGATTAGAGATGCCTTCCCCGGTTCCAGCCCAGGGCAGGGGGAAGCTGAGGTTGGCAGAGGGTGGGGGTGCAAATGCTTCGGGGGGCCGGAGGTCAGGGTTCTGATCCTGAAACAATGGCTTGATGGGGGCGGAGTTGCACAGCCCAAGCCCCCTGGCTTTTGCTCAGTATTCTCCTGATGTGTTGGCCTGGGAAGCCAGAGACTTGAGCTGCAGGCCCAGATCTGCCACTGACTCACTGAGATGAAGGACTTCCACTTCCCCTCACTGTGCCTTAGTTTCCCCTTCTGTAAAATGAATGAATTGGACTAGATGGTGCTTGGGGTCTTTTCCAGCTCTAACATTCATTGTTCTGTGTTCTAGCTCTGACATATTATATTCCAAGGCCCCTCCCAGCTCTGATATTCTCTGTTCCAAGGCCCCTCCCAGCTCTGACATTCCCTGTTCTAATGGCCCTCCAAGCTCATAACTTTCCTGTCCTGAGGCCCTTCCCAGCTCAGACCTTCCCTGTCCTTAGGGCCCTCCCAGCTCTGTAATTTCCTGTTCTAAGGGCCCTCCCAGCTCAGACCTTCTCTGTTCTGAGGCCCCTCCCAGCTCTGATATTCTCTGTTCCAAGGCCCCTCCCAGCTCTGACATTCCCTGTTCTAATGGCCCTTCCCAGCTCAGACCTTCCCTGTCCTTAGGGCCTTCCCAGTTCTGACATTCCCTGTTCTGAGGCCCCTCCCAGCCCTGACATTCCCTATTCTAAGGGCCCTCCCATTCCTGACATTCCCTGTTCTAAGGGCCCTCCCAGCCCTGACATTCCCTGTTCTAAGGCCCCTCCTAGCTATGATATTTCCAAGGGCTCTCCTAACTCTGATATGCTCTGGTTCTATTATCCTGGGAATCTGTGGATCTATGTTCTCAGTCGATGACTTCAGTCCCTCCCTGGCTCAAGATTCTCCTAACCATCCACTTCAGAGAGACTATGGAGACAAGATCTTCACCTAATTGAGAGTTAGCTATAATGGGGACCCTGTGTGGGTAGCGGGAATAAAGGGAATTAACAGTCCCGGGAAGAAGAGAGGGTGTCCCCTTGTGGTGGGAGGAGGTGGCAGGTGCTCCCAATTCTCCCATTTTATGCTGCCCTCTAGTGGATATCATGAGAATCCTGGTTCCCAGAAGTGGGAGGGTAGGCTTGTCTCCCCCAGTGCATCCTGGAAGACCCATCCCACCCACCTACCTTCTGTCTTCTCCAAGCTGCCATTGAGTAACTCAGGGTACCCCGAGAGCAGCTCCAGCAGGCTTCTCATCCCCGCCCCATGGAGCCCTTGGCACACACCGCATCCCACCCAGAGGCCTGAAATCCCGCCCTATTCTGCTCCATTCAGGTTTTTATTCCAAAGTGGGCTGGGCAGCAGGACCTGGGCTCCTATCCGGGCTTTGCAAGACACTTTGACCCTTCCCTTTCTGGGGCTTCCTTCATCTGTGAAGATGGGGAGTAGGATTAGTAGGTCTCTAATGTTCTGCAAGTCAAAAGCCCAGAAATCTCACTTCCTCTTTCCAGCCTTCCGTTTCCCCATCTGTCAAATATGGGACATAGGATAAACTAGTTCGTGTGACCTGGCCCCAGGACTCTGGCCAGGGATCTGAGGCCTAGCCCGGCCGGCCCCTCTCCTGCTGTCTCCCTCCCTCCATCTGTGCAGCCCATCCAAAGAGACTCAATCCACCAGGACACACGATTTATCTCTGACTCTGGCTCACTCTGTTTCTGTATCTTTCCCTCTGACCCTGTCCCTTTGTGTGTCTCTCTCTTTTGTCTCTCCTTGTTTCTGTGTAAGACCAGAGGATTTGGGGATGGAAGGGTCCTGGGTCGCTCTCTCAGTCCAACTCCCTCAGTCCTTTGGCAGAGGAGGAAGGGGAGTCCAGAGAAGGGAAGGGAAGGCCAGAGAAGGGAAGGGACTCGTTCAAGGTCGCACAGCTCCAACTCGCCTCTTTGTGTTTCTCCGTGTGTGTGTGTGTGTGTGTGTGTGTGTGTGTGTGTGTGTGTGTGTG